ACATACACACGTTTTTATTTATATTTCTTTAAAATTAGTGTCTTCTTCTTTTTTTTCGCTTTTTTTTTTGGGTGACGAGAATCAACAAAAAAGGAAACCAAAGTGTAAACTTAATTAAAAATTCAAAATCAATGACCTAAAAACGATTAAAAATAAATGTGAAAAGACTGTAAAAATTCTTAAATTTTTCGATATAGAAGAACCAGTTAGGGATCGGCTCGACTCATTTATTTTCTTTAAAAATTTCGCATATAAAATAAAGAGAAAAAAACAAGAAAAATTGTTATTTTGTGTTTTTTTTTCTTACTCTTTTAATTCCTATAAATCAATAAAAATTGTTAATGTCTTATTATAGATAGGAATTACATATATTCCATATATGAGTAATAAAATTGTCATCCCAATTAGTTCTTAAAATTTGTTAAGAAATCTGAAATAATTTGCTTTTTACTTTACTGGCACTTTATATAAAATGTTACACTCGTTTTGTCTTTTAAAGAAATTTTGGTTTTGGTTTCTACAAAAGTCGAATTGCTAAAGTCGGAAAATACAATATTTTTTTTTCCATTATTTTTATTGTTTTTCGTTATTCTCATATTTTTAAAAATGGCAAAAAAAAAATAAATATTTATTTTAAAATAAGTATGTTGAACTCTAATAAAACTTTTAACTTTTAAATGCATTCTTTGAAATTTTATTTTTTAAATTTTTAAAAAACCAATAATACAATAAAAGTGCAATAAACTTCACCTTAATATATGGAGGCCGTATTTTAAATGTTCAAGCAAACAAGATTCTTTAACAAAAAAGATTTTAAAATTCAAATATGCACAGATTAATTGAAAAATTTAAAAAGTGATTCGATTTTTCGAAAATATATGAGAAATTTAATTAAGAAAGTATAAGAGGAATATTGGTAATAAAAGTTGAATAAGGACAAAATTAATTCTAAGGATATTTTACTTATGACCTTAGATTTTGGGTTTAGACCAACATTTGCTTAAATAACATAAATCTTTTATGTGTAACAAAATTATGGCTACAAAATAAAAACTTCATATGAAAAAATCTGAGCTTCTTACGAAAAACCTACTTAAACAAAAAAAAAAAATTTTTGTATTTGACAGAATGTGAAATTGTTTGAAAATTAAGACATTCCAAAAAATTATTTCATTTATATAAAAATTTACCTTTTTCCCCAAATTCAACTCTATATTGTAGCTAATGAGTATTTAACATAATTTTATTGTCACTTTTAAAATATAAATGAACCATTTTTGTTAAATTTAACAATAATTATTAAAGGACTACATTAAATGATTCGAATAATTTAAAGAATTTCAAAATTATTTTTTATTTTACTCTATTTGTGGAAATCTTATTTGAAATAATATTAGAGTAGCACAATTGCAGTGGAAAGATAATGAAAATACGACAGGGGAAATCACAATTCCTTTTAAAAGCGTGAATTTTGGGAATTTAGCTGTTCAAATCAAAACCTTCGAAGCATCTGCAGTAATGTGTATATGTATACAAAAACTAATTTACTTATTTTAGTTTTTATGTGTATGCAAATGAGGCTCATAGTTAATGTTCATTGTTAAAAACATAAAATTGTAATAAGAAAATAAAAAAAAAATGCCATTTAATCTACTCTATTTAATAACTCTTTTGTAAAATTATCGGGTGTCTACAATAACATTATTGCAAAAATTACTAAAAAAATTTTACTTGGTTTTAAATTATCTACATATACGTAAAATATATGCAAATTTAATATTATAGTTATTATATACAAATTGGTTGCTATTATATTTTTTATTTTGCCTGTTCTACTATATTTTCCACACTGTATGCATATAAAGTAGTCAATAATTTTTTACTATCAACATATAATTACGTTCTGAATGATAGTTATCAAATCTAATTATTAACATTATAAAATATTTACAAGTTTACTTGAAATATATGCTCATATAAAAAAGAAAAAAAAAATTACTAAATTTAAATCTTCATAATTTTATCAGATGACTGAATTGCGATTTCTTTCTAATTTTTGTAATCCATAAATATATTATTAACTTTCTTTTGAGATTTAGTGGCTTAGTTTAAAAACAAAAAAATTACACCAAAACATGATAAACCAATGTAAATGTATGTGTGGATTATGAATTTTCTAATTTTTATTACAAGTATTTATTAAATATCTAATGTATAAAATTATTTTTATTTCGTCTAAAATGAACTGAAACAGAAGTACCTAGACGTACTAGAAAATGTTATCAAAGCATAAATATAAAAACATTATGAAAATGTCACGAGATTTTTATTTTCAGTTAATTTAGCACATATTACGTGTGATTGTATGACATGTACAACATATGATGGTTTTTCTACTCTTCTGTATATCATGTATTAGGTAATTTATACAAAGGTACATGTACATGTACATATATGCTACTTAAACAGAGAGTTTATACAATATGCTTAATTTTAGAAATATGTAGAACTAAATTTGGGACAACTATATCGAAATATCGATAAAATATCGATCGATTTTAAGAATATCTGCTTAATATATAAAATTCTGATATATCGATGCTTTATTTGTCAAAATTTCCAATATCAATTTCTCACCACTTATATTGCTCAATTTCGAACCACACTCAAACTTTTTCTAACTTATCTCTAAGAACCATGTACGTATATTTGTTCGTAATAACACAATTTTTCAAATTACTAATCATTTTTCCTTCTATGCACAAATTTTTATAAAGAAAATAGAATGAATAAAAAATTATTTGCTAAAATTAAAAATGGCTATGTATAAAAAAAATTATCAATCAAATTTTCAATTTCTTTTATACACAAATTAGCTATTTTATTGAAAACTTTTGTTTTTAAAACTATTAAATTCCTCATGATGACAAAAGTTTAATAATTTGATGTTCTATGATTTCGCATTTCGTTGTACCGTATTAAAGAATATAATTCACAACGTCCATTGGCTATGGAAAGTGTATATATAATTTAAGAGGTGTAATTATAAAAAATATCGATAAATCGATAATTTTTTGGTACAAGTAATATGTCGAGTAAATATGATATTTACAAATTCAATATATCGTACGAGTATCGATATTTTTTTTGCGGAAAGTCTGAAAATGCTTTTGACCATTGTATACAGTTTTAAAATGTTTGGAGATTCTTGCCAATGCTCTGTTAACATATAGTTTCTTTAATCCAGGTACGTGATCATTAGTAAAAATATTAGTAAGCAGTTCCAATGACGAAAACAAAATAATATCTGAGCTTTTATTTAATTGTATCTCTTTTTCCTAATTATGAAAGAGAGAAGAAATAAAAGAGAATAGAGGAGAAAATTTCTAAAATTGTATTGTGTTTGTGTCATATTTGTACTTGTACTCAAATTTGACATTAAATTTTACTATTCCCATTTTTATTTTCGTTTCACTTTAATAGTCATATGGTTACATCATTGTCATAGAAAAACTCATAAAAGATAAAAAGTGAAAGATATTTGTTTATGTACATTATAATATACATATACATACATAACGGTAGTAATTTAAATATTTTGTTTTTTATAAAATATTTAATTTCCATTTCGATATTCGCATTTTTTCCAGTTTATTTTTTGCAGATTTTATTACCAAAAATTTTATAGATAACATTCTGTTCTTAATAATAATTGCATATACATGTCTATGTAGATACTACTTTGGTATTTATACATTTTTTATGTATGCAAAAATATAGACATAAACGTTATCCATAACATCCAGAAACTTTAAAAATTTCTATATAAATTGTACATTTTTATGGATAATTTAAAATTTTAAAATTTAACATTTGCTTTAAATTGATAGTAGTAAAATAAAGATTACATGCTACAGAAAACCCATTGCCCATATGTATATACATACATATGTATATGCGCATATTCGCATAAAATTAACATTATTATCTCTCATCATTTTTACTTTCTACAATAATTAGGAAGTGAATTGCGCTCCGAATTTTATCGCAACTTATTCATTTAAAAAAATAGTATACATAGATTTATTCATATAATTCAAATGTAATTATTAATCACACACATGCTAGAGAAATGGTGAATAGTAAAGAATATTCAGTATAAATTATAAAAATCTAGAGCAATTACGAATGGAGTATGAAACTTTGAGAAAATATCGAAAGAGAATACAAATATTAAACAAAAAATTTTTCAAATTTGCTTTGAAAATTACTCGCCGATTCGTTGAACAAATTAAATAACCCTTTAATAATTCTATATAAACAAAAGTGTGAGTAAAACCGAATAAACTTAAGATTACGTTCTTGAGTCTTTGGAAAACGGCTTGTTGTGTTATAGCGAAACAATGCCTAACTTCAGATTAATTTTTGTTTTAACTATTACTTAGAGTCTTTCTAAGCCCTAGATGTTGTTTTAAAATTAAATATGCAAAGAATTAGATTTTTTAATTTTTCGTTCTTTTTATTGAAAATATAGCTCATTACAATTCCAAACGGAAAATTACATTATTTAAATGTCCACTATGAACACGTGCACATGCAATACACTTTCGGAACGAGATTATTGCACATGGAGTGGAATAATCTCGTTCCGAACTTTGTATTTCTGCCCTCAAATTTTTGTTGGCTTATTTTGTTGACTTTACTTTTCAAAAAAACCCCCACAAAAAGTAGTCAAATAAAGTTATAACAAGTTAAGATTCAGATTTCAGATTTATTCTTTCAAATTCAGATTTAATTATTCACTAATGATGCTATTATCAGACCTTATTAATGAATGGTTAATAAGACGATTATCTCATATATGTGCAATAAAATATAAAGACATTACAAATGCATTATTAGTCACATGGCGCATAAAATTCACATTTTTTAATTTAATAATATTATTAATTCTTAACAATTTTATTCAATTAACAATATTTATTTTTCTTCAAATACAGATTTATGTGGTTTATGATAAAGGTGACATTTGGTGAACATAATCGTTGTAACGATACTGTACGGCCAGAAACACGTTTCGTATTAAGAGCAATTTCACAAAAATTCAGCTTTACGAACTTTGATAATGATATTGCGTTATTAAGATTAAATGATCGTGTTCCAATTACTGATTTTATCCGGCCGATCTGTTTACCTGCAAAAACAAGTAACTGTTTATTATTTATATTTTTTTTTATATTTTTTAACTACATAATACTTTTTCAATTATCATTTTTAAGATTATTTTTGAACATAGAAATGAAAATTAAAAATATTATTATGAAACAAAAAAAAAATTCTTTCATTTTCTTACCAGAAAATCGTTATGTTGGTACAAAAGGTGTTGTAACCGGTTGGGGAACACTTAAAGAAGACGGCAAACCGTCATGTATTCTACAAGAAGTTGAAGTTCCAGTTTTAGCAAATGATATTTGTGCAAAAGAAACAAATTACACACAAAAAATGATTACAGATAATATGATGTGTGCAGGTTATCCTGGTGTTGGTCAAAGAGATTCTTGTCAGGTAGCATTAAATTTTATTTTAAAGAGTATTTTTTTTTTCATTTTACAGCTATTTAATTTTCAAAATTATTTTTAATATCTTTTTTTTTAAATTTGGTGCATAATAAAAATAGGGTGATTCCGGTGGACCGATGGTAGCTCAAAGATCTGATAAACGTTATGAACAAATTGGTATTGTTTCTTGGGGCAATGGTTGCGCTCGACCTCATTATCCTGGTGTTTATACAAGAGTAACAAACTATTTAGATTGGATAGAACAAAATTCAAAAGATGGTTGTTTTTGTAATGAATAAATTTAAAGATATATATATACACTAAACATACATATATAAAATATTATTTACCTATCTACCTTTATATATTATTATATATATATATATATCTATAATATATAAATATATTATTTAATTTAATAATAATTAATATTGTATAAGTGATTTTAGTATTAAAATAATAGTAGGCAATATAAGACATTTAATTTAAAAAATAAATTAGTTGTATAAATTTTTTATTATATAATAAACTTACTACTATATAATTATATTATATATACATAAAGTTAAAGAAGAATATAAGTAAATAAACAATAGTATAAAAAAATATAACTTTGATTCATTGAAAAAGAAAAATAAAATGAGATTGAGTCAATTCCTTGAGAGAATTTCTTTGCCTTTCGGAATTCTGAACATCCGAAATTCAAAGACAGGGTAGAGTTGAATCAAATACACGCGGTTTGCCGCATTCCATTGTAATTTTACTTACAATAAAATTTATATTACACATTCAGTTGTAATTTTAATAGTAAAAGAATGAGCAAAATATATTTGCTTGTACGTATCTGATAATGTGTAAATCGTAGACCATAGGGGTAAAGAATTATCAATTAATGCAATGGGATGGAGCAAAGGAATAATTATTAAAATGAACAACAACAAGTTAATACAAAAATTTATGAAATATTTGGACTTACAAATAGCAAATGTCCGAAGAACTTTATGTATGTTTAAGATGCGAATTTTCTACAAAAACAGGCACTATTTTTGTACATTCTAAATATTGAGTTTTTCAAAATAAATTAGTACTTGGATTGTAGTACCTAATTATTGTAAAATACTGCAATTTTAATTCCATACTGCTGTACTTTTGGTTTAAAAAAAATATACTTGTCGATTAACATATTCAATTATATTACTTATAACTATATAATTTTAATCCCTATAGAAAATCGAGGTTATGATGGGAAGCTACAACAAGCTATAGGTGGGTTGTTATGGTCAGGAGGCAAAAACATCTACAATCTTTCAAATCTATATTTCAAAATATACTAAACTAGTTTATGCAAAAACAAAGATGTTATTTAAAAATTAAAATTTTTATCAATTTTACAAATCTTGCAAGAGCAAAAACAAATAAAACAAACATAATCATAAAAAATCTTCATGTACTCAAACTACTTGTATAAATTTTGCAAAATCCACTTGGCAATTTTTCAAGCGTATTATGTATAGCCGTGAATGAATGAGATTAAAGAATATATTCCATAATTTTAATAAAGAAAAAGAAAATTATATTCACCTGTTTGAAGGTTAAAAATGGTTAACAATCGACAAACCTTAAATGGTCTGTCATATAGAATTATTTTCCTTTATATTGAAAATTACGCGACAATTTTACACTTTATTTTTTCCACATTTCATGAACTGGTTCTGGTTTTTTTAATATATGTATGTTTGTATTTATGAACTACCGGGTTGATTATCTCTTAACTTATTTAAGATTTTTATAAATATATATATTTATAGAGAGTGTCTCGTATCTACGTAACACTTTTTAAGTCACAGAGAATGATAGTCAATCCCGAAAAATATTTTGTTTTATTTTTAAAATTTTAAGTATAACTCCGTTCCAATATAAGATATATGGTACATGATAACTATAATACGCGGGAAGATGACACCAGTTGTGCTAAGACTAGAGACTGTAATATTACGTCACATAAAAATTCAAAGCTATGTGATGCCGAAATCTATGAATACCTAATGTATAGATATTCATGACAGAAAGCCACTAGACACAAAATTAGTTATTCTCTGTAGTTAAAAAATCATCTGACACAGGAACGGAGCTACACTAAAAATTTTAAAAATAATAGTTAACATTAATTTTAAGTTTCTGTAACTTTACAATGGTAAATAGCAGCGCAATTAAAAAACACACCCTGTACAATTACACATACGCAAATATGCATTTATTTACTGTTATAAGTTCTAAAAAGGAGAATTACAATGTAGTGCAGTTTTATGGAAATTTTCATTTCGCAAAAGTTCATTCTTCCGTAAAAGACAAAAGTTTTTTTTTTTAAATATTTTAAAAAAGAAAAAACAAATTTTTTCTTAATATTTCGCTTATCTTTTTACGTTCATGTAGACATACATACATTATATTTATATTTTGTAGTGTTCTAATGAAATTGCTTTCAGCTCCTAACATTACCTTTAACATTCAGATACATAAACATTAAAATTTTTTTGTTCCAGAATATTCTTACTTCTTACGTTATAGAAAGGCCAGTTATAATGCCATACTTATGTACTTTAAATGAGTACACAAATACGAGTTAATTTAAGCTATAAATTGGAGACAAATTTATTTTGAACAAAATCATAATGTTGTGTGCTTCCTCAAAATATTTAATTAAAATTTGCACAGCTCTCTTGTTATTTTAATAATAAAATTGTACATACATACATTATATTAATAATGTTTGTTTGTATTTCGTAACCTATCTGTAATTATAATTAATATTAAAGTCAAGAATGGACTGTAAAATAATTAGGCTGTCGAGGTATAGGAAGAGTTACAAAAAAAAGTTTTCTGAGCGACTACAAAAAATTTAAATTTTTTTAATTGCAATTCAATGAATAATAGCTCAGAATTTTTATATGTATGTATGTATATCTCTAGTAATGAACTTAAAGTCACTTATGTATGCATAAGTATACCACGTACCCACAATATTCTTTATACTTATGTAGTGTATGCCTATAAACTTATCATCTCAGTTACTTAAATAATATTGACATTGAAAAACGCTCTATGGCCTTAAATTCCAATATTTTTAAAAGTTCAAATAATAAAATATTTAAAAGGTTGCGTTTCAAATTACAATTACAAACATACATACATATATACATAAATATATCATTAAGTTTTGATTTTTTTGTTTTTTTTTTTTTGTAATTTATTCATTACTGCAATTTCTAACAACTTAAAAGAAGACCCTTAGCTATAATATGCATATTAAATGTAAATTTCGGATGCAAAAGAATTTTTTTTCGAATTGTAAATTAATTCCGTATAGATAAATATATACACATACGTACTTTTATATATAGAGTGCTAAATATTGCAATTAGCAATTCGTGTAATTCTTTTTCAAATAGAAAGTGTGTTAAATAAGTGAAATAAACTAAGTTTCTAGGTTTTGAAAATATTGCATTAGCATTTATGTATGTGATCAGAAATTTTAAATTTATTAAAATAATGTTGACAATTTTTATAGAATATTATGCTTTTCAATGTAAACAATCGTAAAATAGATTTATCATTCCTACATCTTTGACATAAATGTTAATGTATCACATATGCAATTATTTGATTGATATAGATAATTTTACATTATTCGACTCTAGTATATGATTCATGAATTCTTGAATTTTTGGTTTAGCTTAAACTGAAATATTACGGAGGTCAAAACAACTGTGTGTCAATAAAAATTAGCATGTTTGTAAGAAAACCTTATGCAAACATAATACAAGGTTACATAATCTAGAAAAAATAATGAATTCATTCAGCTATAACACTGATATAGTCATTTACTGTACTCTCAGTTAGGATTCCTTTAAGGCATGAGTTCTTATTAATTTTATTTCATTTATAATCTTTGGCAAAATATTAACAATAATACCTATACATAAAAATTTATTTGCAAAATATTTGCATATATTTAGGATGAAAAATTTAACTACATTATCGAACTTATCCAATAAATATGCAATTTTTGATATAGCTAGTAAATTTTGAAAAACAAAGATGTAATTTTCAATTTATAATAATTTTAAAAACGTACGTAAGTTCATGTTTTCTACTTTGAAGATAATTATAACCGTTATCTGACAATAATGTTGTCGAATTTCAAGTTATAAGAAAAAAGGTTTTTGTTTTTAAGCATATGCTTTAGGTACGAGTTTTCTAATAAAGAAAATAAACTAAAGGTCTGAATTTTAAATTTAGGAAACTATTAAACTACACTATTGGTTTTGTTTAATGGTTATTGGCCATTAAAGAAAACATGTAGAGTGATTACAGTAAGGAGAGGCAATATAATAAGAGAGGTTAAGTGGTGGCACCAAATTTCACATATCGAGTTTTCAATGGAAACGCAATTCTCCATAGTTGGGAAGCCTTAATAAATTTCTTATAGCGAGATGTCAGTCTGTTGGTCTATGTGTGCACGCATGTACCTCAAAGTCGACTGCACGATATTGAATAACTTTTGGGACATGTCAGATCCTGGGAACTAAAACTTTTAAAAGGCCGATTTTACATTTTCCATAATTTTTAACAAAAAAAAATTAACAGACTAACTTGAAACTTTGCAAAATTTCTTCGTGAGTATGACAAGCCTTCTATAACTCCTATCCTAAGGAAATCAGGTGAACAACAGAGGTTTTACAATGGCCAAAATTCAGGGTGTTAAAGGCATACATTTTTCGGGAATATCACGGCTTGGAGAGTGAACATTCTATTACAGTTGATTATATTTTTTTTGTCACATCTAAGGAAATAAGTGACAAAATTGAGTTCTGCTTGCTGTCGGAGCTAACTGACGAACATTTTCGGGAATTCGGATGTCATGAATATGTTACGGATTTTGGAGTGAACCTCTCCTAAGTAATGGAGAAAGTAAATGTATATGGTTGCATAAATTTTTTTTAATTAACTTATTGGTGTAATAAACATAAATTAATATTTAATTTGAATAAAACCAATAAATAATAAGTAAACTAGTTCTATTAATAATTATCAATAAAATTAAATCAAAGGTTTTTTTAAATATTCATAGTGAAAGCAAATTAATTAAAATTTGACTTAATTCTATAAATATATGATGTAATAGAATTAATTATAAAATTTTTTATTTAATATAATAAATATTACGTACATTGTATGTCGATCCTTTCAAGAAAAAAATCCCCGAACCAATTATTTTTATGATTTGTAGACGTATGATTACGTAAAAGAATTATTTCATTGGCATAGGGAGGTAATTCATTGGATTTTTATGAAAAAGATCAAATGTTTGCAGGGAGAATGTATTCGGATGTC